CTGTGTGTGTGTGTCTGTGTGGGTTTGTGTGTGTGTGTCTGTGTGTGTGGTAAGATAGAGATCTTTTATTTGTCCCACAGTGGGGAAATTTCAATGTTGCAACGCACAAACAGGACAGTAGTAACCAGGGGGTTTGTGCGTGTGTTTGTGGAGGCTAATTATGTGTGTGTGCGTTTATGTGTGCATGTGTGTGTGTGCGTGTGTGTGTGTGTGTACGTATTATCTTTTTATCACCTCTTTAGTTCATTATTACTGTTATTATATACCATTATTGTTTGAATCCATTTTCTTCCCCTTCGTCCATGTCTGGGTCGGGGGGGCAGTCAGAGCCCCAGCCTCTCACTGATCCTCTGCAGGTGCTGAGTCCACAGGAGCTGAGATCTCAACATTATAATTTCTATTTTTATGTAATCTTATCATTTGCATAATCGTTGCCTGTTTTTGAATTATGACATTTTGACCAACTGAATTTTAAAGGCAAAAACTCAAAATTAATGTATATATAAAAAAATAAAAAATAAAGTATATTTTATAGGTAATATCTTAAAACCAGTGCCTTCGTTCAGCATAACTAAAACCATAAGATTTGCTAAAGTAGAATAATCCGATAACAAGCGAGGGGCCTCAGTTGTCAATCAAGGGTTTGCTTTTGAATCGCGTCCAATCAGGAACTAATGGGGGCGGGACTAACACTGAAAAACACCCTTCAATTCATAACAACATCGATCTCAATGGGACGATTCTTAAATCATCACAACAATAAAAAAAGAGAAAATACTGAATATGGATAGACCTGTATAATGGTGGGTAATGCGCCACCTACTGGTAGAACTGAGGAATTACATCATGCTTTCATAGTAAACTTTAAAGAAAGTAATTTGACAGGAGACATTTAAGAAGCGAATACTTTTAAGGCACATGTTGTAGTATTTACTCTGACTTTAGGACAGACAAAGTACGGCACAGGGGCCACGTACAGTCTGATTCACATTTCTATGCGGCCCCCAGACCTTTCCCATCTGTTTACCTCAAACTGGTCCTTAGCATTAGCATCGCTTCTAAAACATGTCTTTCAATTCTTTGAACTTGACACAACGTTTTGAACCTGCAGACGGAAAGTGCAGCTTGCAGATTATCGAGTGGGGAAAACGTTATGTTGAAATGGATCTTTTAAACCTCGTCGCTTTGCATTGGTCAATAATTCTGTCCGTCACGTCAAGAATCAATCAATCAAACTGAGAGCGAGGCACGAAAACACACTCTGAATATAGATGATCGACACAAGACACACAACAGAGAAGAGTTACCAGGGTTCTGGTAAATGGTCTTTTGTGTGTACGGTCGTGTGTCTGTCTGTGTGTGTGTGTGCGTTTATGTGTATGTATGTGTGCATGCGTTTGTGTGTGTGTATGTGTGTGTGCATGCATTTGTGTGTGTGTGTGTGTGAAATTGTGCGTTTATTTGTATGTATTTGTGCATGCGTTTGTATGTTTGTGTGTGTGTGTGTGTACGTTTGTATGTGAGTGTGTGTGTGTTTGTATGTGAGTGCGTTTGTGTGCGCAAGTTTGTGTGTGCATGTGTGTGTGCAACATATATGAACTTTGAAACAAACGGGCGCACTGACAGAAGCCATCGGCCCCTCCCACCACCACCAACCACTCACACACACACCAGACTCATTCTAATGTGGGGGAAGTGTCTTGCCTAAGGACACAACCACAGTTTGGTGGGATTAAGCCCCGGCGATCCAAGATGGCGCCGTATTCAAATGAATGGTTGTGAAAGATTAGCGGAAGTCGCCTGGAACTCTCAAAGATCTATGGGAAACTCGCCTGTATTTGGGCATTGTCTGGTCCTCCCGGTTCTGCGCAGTGGATGATCTCCCATAATGCATTGCGTCAAACACGCGTGTGAGGGTCTCACACCGGGTCTCACGCACGTGCACAGAGGGGCTCGGCCGCGCTCTGACCAATCAGAGCAGTTCATCAGAGCGGGAGTTAGAGCCAGAGGAGCAGAGTTTGTGGCACTAAAGTGTGGATTTAAACAAAACCGAAGGATTTAAGAAGAAAAAAGTTCAGGACGACAAGGGACACTAAAATCCCCACAAAATCTGACCTTTATGAAAGCTGTAGGTTCTCTGTCAGGTTCTCTGTCAGCTGAGGTTGCGCTGTTTTAGTTTACATTGAGTTCTATGGGGAAAATTTCTGGGTAGCCCACATGAATTTAGTCTGGTTCAGTCTGGTTCAGTCTGCAGTACCGCGAGAATCCCCCGAGCACATGGTTCTTCAGCTCCGAGCTAGTAATACCCTATCCAGTTAATATAATACATCCATGGCAGGGATCTGTCTTCCTCCTGCAGATATGGCGATCGTGGTCTGACTTCCTCTTTGGCGTCTGCGGTGATGAGAGCTCTGCAGGGGGTCTGTGTGGTTCAGAGGCTCAGGGCTAATCGGAGGTTGTTGCCGTCGGATACGGAGATCAATGATGCTGTATTAAGGGAAGTAAAAGAAGAAGAGAGAGACGGAGCGAGAGAGTGGAAGATCAAAGGAGATGATTATACTTCTATGGTGTGTGTAAAGTCCGACTTATGGACCATTCTCCCACATGTGTTTGGGAGAATAAAGACACCTCTCCCACTCTCCCTGACTCAGGTTGCCAGATATGCAGACGAATCCAGCTGGGACCATAACAGCTGAATAGACAAGAGTTTTGTCAACAACAAATCTATAACCAACACCTTTTACACAAAGATAGAATTCCTGGTTTTATTCCTTGTTTTGTTGTTAATGATTTGAGAATCATAACGAGACCTTTTTTAGTTCTGCGCCACATGGTACTTTACCAGTGAGATTAGCTCCACGCGGTGAGTTCTGGCGCCCGGATCAAGGACTTTCTGATTGGTGAAACGGTGGAGGGCAGGACATCAAAATGAAAACAATAACAAGATTTAGGGACTGGAAAAATAATTTAGAAATTCAAATATTATCAGTTAAAGAAGTATTGGAAAAGAACAGTTTATTATTATGACAGATTAGGGCCCTTTAATGATGACAGATTAGGGCCTTTTAATGATGACAGATTAGGGCCCTTTAATGATGACAGATTAGGGCCCTTTAATTATGACTGATTAGGGCCCTTTAATGACGACAGATTAAGGTCCTCTAATGATGACGGATTAGGGCCCTTTAATGACTGATCAGAGCCTTTAATGATGACAGTTAAAGAAGGATTGGAAAAGAACAGTTTATTATTTTGACAGATTAGGGCCCTTTAATGCTGACAGATTAGGGCCCTTTAATAATGACAGATTAGGGTCCTTTAATGATGACAAATTAGGGCCCTTTAATGATGACAGATTAGGGCCCTTTAATGATGACAGATTAGGGCCTTTTAATGATGACAGATTAGGGCCCTTTAATGATGACAGATTAGGGTCCTTTAATGACGACAGATTAGGGCCCTTTAATGATGACAGATTAGGGCCCTTTAATTATGACTGATTAGGGCCCTTTAATGACGACAGATTAAGGTCCTCTAATGATGACGGATTAGGGCCCTTTAATGACTGATCAGAGCCTTTAATGATGACAGTTAAAGAAGGATTGGAAAAGAACAGTTTATTATTTTGACAGATTAGGGCCCTTTAATGCTGACAGATTAGGGCCCTTTAATAATGACAGATTAGGGTCCTTTAATGATGACAAATTAGGGCCCTTTAATGATGACAGATTAGGGCCCTTTAATGACGACAGATTAGGGCCCTTTAATGACGACAGATTAGGGCCCTTTAATGACGACAGATTAGGGCCCTTTAATGACAACAGATTAGGGCCCTTTAATGACGACAGATTAGGATCCTTCAATGATGACAGATTAGGGTCCTTTAATGATGACAGATTAGGGCCCTTTAATGATGACAGATTAGGGCCCTTTAATGATGACAGATTAGGGCCCTTTAATGATGACAGATTAGGGCCCTTTAATGATGACTGATTAGGGCCCTTTAATGATGACAGATTAGGGCCCTTTAATGATTACTTAACATGAATATCTTACATATTGCTAGTTTAAGTAATATGTATTATTATTTGATCAAAATATCCAGCACAGATATGTCGTGAAAGCAGCTAATAGTGATCACCAAGTGCTTGTTGAAGAATGAGGAAGTCTGCTGTTAGCATGCTAGAGACAGAGATAGTCTCGAGGTGGAAAACAGGAGGAGCCAAACATGCAGGAATGTAAAGAAAGGTTTGAATGATGTAAAACTAATAGTCCAGGAACAAGGAACGGAACAGGACAGACACTAACAGGAAGTCAAACTGAGATGAAACCAGAGCTATAAAGTCAAAATAAAACTAAATACAGAATTAAAATCCTCACCAGGACAGAGCTAGTGTGTGAGTATTCAGCCCATGTTTTAATCACATTATTATTATTATTTATTTCAACATCCTGTAAGATCTCGGCCTTTTCCCAGACTCAATTACTTGTTGCTGTGTGGAAACCTGGCGCCCCTGAGTGACAGTGACATGTGGACGATGTGGGGAATTGAACTGCCAGCTCAGAGTGACACCGGTCGTCTGTGTGGACTTAATCTCCACCGCCACAGACCACTCCCGAGAGATTATCAGAGTAACGAAGAAACGGGAAGATCCACCACAAAGAAACTTATCTGAAGACGCAAGAGAAAGACATTTAAAGTGACGGATATTTAAGTCCTTCTTTGGCATAGCCTTCTCGATCATGGTTGGTGAAAATAAATTAAATTGCCTAAAATCTGGCCCTAATCTGTCATAATAATAATAACCCATGTTCTTTTAAAACCAGGATTTCTATCTTTGTGAAAAAGGTGTTGGTTATAGATTTGTTGTTGACAAAACTCTTGTCTATTCAGCTGTTATGGTCCCAGCTGGATTCGTCTGCATATCTGGCAACCTGAGTCAGGGACAGTGGGAGAGGCTGCAGTACCACTTTTGGCCACATGTTTACATTCTGCTCCTTTAATTTTTGTTAAATAGTTGTAAAAAATTGCAGCCACAAATTTGCAACTGTGAAAAAGTCAAGCACAAAACCAGATCCAACACAAATGTAAAATGCTTACGATGATTTTTTTCGGGTTATTGCGGCGAACTTGACGCTGTAAATGCAAAGGCTCATGGGAGATGAAGTTGATGTGAACCATGAGTGACCCCCACACATCAGTCGTTGGATCGACTCCCCCGCTGAGCGTCGACACCTCCCCCGCTGGGCGTCGACACCTCCCCCATCACATCAAACACTGGTGGAGACGGACACAAAAACTAAAAGCCAAAAACCAAAAGATTCCACATTATCACGAGAATATTCTCAAGATCATGTTTAAGGACCATCCAGGTCACTGTAAAGTACTTTTAAGGTTAGACCATTGTTCCACCTCTCCTGTGCATGTGGCGCCACCTGCAGGGGAAAGCCTTTGTGCGGCGAGGATTCGGAACAGTCTTCTTGAGAACGTGAGACAGGCTCGACTCTGTCTCGGTTAAAAACTGTTTTGTTTTTCTACAACTTTTACACTGTGGCTATTTATGTGTGATTTTAATATTTTTAAAGTACTTTTTATTTTTATTTTATTGTGATCTTATTGTGTTGTTTTTATGCTCTTTGGGATTTGAATGTTTATGATTCAGGCCTGATGTGACGCGCTCTGTGTTGGAAAGACGCTCTCCAAATGAAAGTGGATTGATTGATTTTCTGTCAGACCTCTGAAGCTAAGCAGGGCAGGTCCTGGTTAGTACTGTGATGGGAGACCTCTGGGAACACCAGGTGCCACAGTGGGGCGGCTGCAGCTGTAAAGTGCCAAACTGTGGTTGTGTCCTTAGGCAAGACACTTTCCCCACATTAGAATGAGTCTGGTGTGTGTGTGAATGGTTAGTGGTGGTGGGAGGGGCCTCGCTTCTGTCAGTGTGCCCCAGGGCAGCTGTGGCTACAGTAGTAGTTTACCACCACTGTGAGAATAATGTTTCAGTGTCGTAATAATGGCTCAATAAAACAAATAAAATTCTCAAAACTTGGTTAAAAGTAGAAAATGTGATGTTTGCCGCTAATGAGGCCGTGGTGAGTAGAGCCACAACATCTTTGCTTCAATGACATTTACTAAACATTCCTCTTGCTCCGGCTTCAGTTTCTTAATATTTGGATTGAACCAGAACAGATTATTTTACTATCGCATTCTCCATGGACCAGAGTTTACACATGGTAAGACCAGACGTACATGTAGGAAATGATCATGGACCAGAGTTTACACATGGTAAGACCAGACGTACATGTAGGAAATGACCATGGACCAGAGTTTACACATGGTAAGACCAGACGTACATGTAGGAAATGACCATGGACCAGAGTTTACACATGGTAAGACCAGACGTACATGTAGGAAATGACCATGGACCAGAGTTTACACATGGTAAGACCAGACGTACATGTAGGAAATGATCATGGACCAGAGTTTACACATGGTAAGACCAGACGTACATGTAGGAAATGACCATGGTCCAGAGTTTACACATGGTAAGACCAGACGTACATGTAGGAAATGATCATGGACCAGAGTTTACACATGGTAAGACCAGACGTACATGTAGGAAATGACCATGGACCAGAGTTTACACATGGTAAGACCAGACGTACATGTAGGAAATGACCATGGACCAGAGTTTACACATGGTAAGACCAGACGTACATGTAGGAAATGATCATGGACCAGAGTTTACACATGGTAAGACCAGACGTACATGTAGGAAATGACCATGGACCAGAGTTTACACATGGTAAGACCAGACGTACATGTAGGAAATGACCATGGACCAGAGTTTACACATGGTAAGACCAGACGTACATGTAGGAAATGACCATGGACCAGAGTTTACACATGGTAAGACCAGACGTACATGTAGGAAATGACCATGGACCAGAGTTTACACATGGTAAGACCAGACGTACATGTAGGAAATGACCATGGACCAGAGTTTACACATGGTAAGACCAGACGTACATGTAGGAAATGACCATGGACCAGAGTTTACACATGGTAAGACCAGACGTACATGTAGGAAATGATCATGGACCAGAGTTTACACATGGTAAGACCAGACGTACATGTAGGAAATGACCATGGTCCAGAGTTTACACATGGTAAGACCAGACGTACATGTAGGAAATGATCATGGACCAGAGTTTACACATGGTAAGACCAGACGTACATGTAGGAAATGATCATGGACCAGAGTTTACACATGGTAAGACCAGACGTACATGTAGGAAATGATCATGGACCAGAGTTTACACATGGTAAGACCAGACGTACATGTAGGAAATGATCATGGACCAGAGTTTACACATGGTAAGACCAGACGTACATGTAGGAAATGATCATGGACCAGAGTTTACACATGGTAAGACCCAGGCTGGTTGTGGCCATCTAACTAACCTTTCCACCTTAACATTATGGCTCTGATTTCACTGTTACCTTTTGCAGCGTAACAAACCTGGGATTGTGTGTTGTGTGAACTCATTCTTTCTGCACATCACTCAGACTCAGGTCCGACTGCGCTCATGTGTTAAACGGCCTTCATCCTCGCTCCTCGCTCCTCGCTCCTCGCTCCTCGCTCCTCGCTCCTCGCTCCTCGCCCCTCGCTCCTCTCTCCTCGCTCCTCGCCCCTCCCTCCTCGCTCCTCGCTCCTCGCTCTTCGCTCCTCGCCCCTCGCTTCTCGCTCCTCCCTCCTCGCTCCTCGCCCCTCGCTCCTCGCTCCTCGCTCCTCCCTCCTCGCTCCTCGCTCCTCGCTCCTCGCTCCTCGCTCCTCCCTCCTCGCTCCTCGCCCCTCGCTCCTCGCCCCTCGCTCCTCGCTCCTCCACTTCACATAAACATAAAGGATTGTGGCGTCTCTGCAGGAGGCGACAAAATCAATACATCATCTGCAGCTGGAGGCGACTTCAGACGCTTTACCTGAGATGTGATTAAGACCAGTGTCTCTCTGAACAAACATGCAGCATAATTACAAAAAATATATTCAAAACCAGAACCAGGAAGTACCATCACATTAGTCCTGGTGTCTGTACCTGTGACTCAGAGAATAGACTTTAAAACAGCTCTGTTTGTTACAAGTCTCTCCATGGCCTCAAAGTACATGTTAGTGCCATATGAACCAACTCTGAGGAGCACAGGGACTGGCCTCCTGCTGGGACTCTGAGGAGCACAGGGACTGGCCTCCTGCTGGGACTCTGAGGAGCACAGGGACTGGTCTCCTGCTGGGACTCTGAGGAGCACAGGGACTGGCCTCCTGCTGGGACTCTGAGGAGCACAGGGACTGGCCTCCTGCTGGTCCCAGAGTCAGGACTGAACATGAGGAGTTAGCGTATAGAGCGTGTGCAGTGATGCGATTGATGTGACAAACCGTTGCGGTGACTAGGGAGCAGCGTCTGCAGTCAAAGCTCTTGATATACCAGAGCTTTGTTTTATTTGTTTGAGTTTAATTTTTTATCGTTTGTCTCTGCCGTGACTTCAAGATATTGAGGACATAGACATAGGGAACAGATCATAAATGTCCTGGATCAACTCAAAAACCCAGTGGGAAAAAGTGAGAAACCTCGGGGAAGCCATTTTTGAGCCAGTATCGACCAATCAGAGGGCTTCAGTCTGACTCCCAGCACAAAGTCTATCCTCCCATCTCCGTGGTGTGTCCTGCCCTCGGTGGGACCCAGGCTGCAGGGCGTGTTCCGAGGGCTTGCCTCTGTGTCGGATCTGGTACGTATGTTGTGGAGAGATCAAGGTTTAAGCCCAGAGTGGAGTCCAGCTGTTAGCCCCCCCCCCCCCTCACCATGGACCCCTGACCCACACCTACTGTATGAGCGGACCACTTTGCCATAATCTGCCGGCGCTGGTGACGTGCAGCGGCGGATTAAAGGGGACATGTATTTGAATGTGTTTGAAAAATGTAGTCTTAAAGCTGGAGTACCTAACTTTGAAAGCACAGACACAAAATGACTTCATTCTGAGGTCTCTGCACAGGGACTGGCCTCCTGCTGGGACTCTGAGGAGCACAGGGACTGGCCTCCTGCTGGGACTCTGAGGAGCACAGGGACTGGCCTCCTGCTGGGTCTCTGAGGAGCACAGGGACTGGACTCCTGCTGGGTCTCTGAGGAGCACAGGGACTGGCCTCCTGCTGGGACTCTGAGGAGCACAGGGACTGGCCTCCTGCTGGGACTCTGAGGAGCACAGGGACTGGCCTCCTGCTGGGACTCTGAGGAGCACAGGGACTGGCCTCCTGCTGGGTCTCTGAGGAGCACAGGGACTGGCCTCCTGCTGGGACTCGGAGGAGCACAGGGACTGGTCTCCTGCTGGGTCTTTGAGGAGCACAGGGACTGGCCTCCTGCTGGGATTCTACGGAGCATAGGGACGGGCCTCTTACTGCTGCTCAGAATCATGACTACTAGGGGAAGTTAAGACATATGCCAACACAGGGAGAACATGAAAATTCTACTCAGTCAGACCTAGCTTGGATTCTTCTTGCTCAGAAGCGACATTACTAACCACTCACTCTTTAGTCAGTCTTATAGATTTGCTACTTTTAATAAAACTGGTGAAAAACTAAATGTTTTTGGGGAAACATTTTCAGAGTTCAACCTCAGTTTGGCACTTTGCAGCCGCCCCACTGTGGCTAGTGTTCCCAGAGGTCTCCCATCACAACATTAACCAGGCCCTGCCCTGCTTAGCTTCAGGAATGTGTTGGTTTCACCTGCAGGTGGCGTCAGTTGATGTGATATTCTTCCGATTGAACTGACGATACCAAAACACGTAGACGGTTGTTACTATGGCAACACGGCGGACCTCTCTGGAACCAGTTCGACCCGGTTCTGGACGCTGCTGATGTACAGTTCTGCGGCGGTGAGGATCCAGTCCACGTGACAGACCTCTCACTCTGCGGCTGCTGGAGCGGATGAGACGATTTGTGGAGACGACTTCCCACAGATCAACGTCGAACAGCGATGAAGAAGAAGAGTGATGAGGTGCGAACATCTGCGACAGACTCAAACCTCCTCGTTTATCATCCTCCCGTCTCCAGATCTACGACCGCCATCGCTCTGACTCCGCTGAGCGACTTCTGCCACCTCTGATCATCTACACAAGCAGCTTCTGTTTCGACTCACGGCACCGTAGTTATGTTTGTGTAACTGTCTTAAAGGGGCAGTACGCGCTACATCCACCTGTCGCTCGGTATTTTCTGTTGTAGAGCCATTCATGGTTAGATTCATACTTCTTTGACATTGGGGACTGGATACTACTGTTACTACAAGTATTACTTCTACTGCTACTGTTGCTTTGGGTTGAAGTTTTATGAAATGTCCCATAGAAATACATTTTGATTGATTGATACTATACTACTACTGTTAATTCTACTACTATTATTACTGCTTCTTCTACTGCTATTACACTACTACTATTTACTATTACTGCTTCTACTATCATTACTATTACTGCTAATACTACTGTTACTACATGCCTGAGGTTTCTCACTTTCTGAGTGGTTTCTCTCTGATGCAGTGGTCCTTGCTCCTTATGGACCAATGGATCCTATCTGTTTGTTATCATTGCATTTCCTGTGTTTGAATCAGTGGGGGCTGATCTGACATGCTGCAATACCACCCTGGGCCAGTGGGGGGTGGGCCCGGAATAAGAATTAGCCAATGCTAATGTTTAGCATCTTACCTCTTGAAAAAGGCGTTACAGGATGGTCTAAAAGTGGCTCTTGTTCCAAAAGTGGCTCTTGGTCCAAAAGTGGCTCTTGGTCCAAAAGTGGCTCTTGGTCCAAAAGTGGCTCTTGGTCCAAAAGTGGCTCTTGTTCCAAAAGTGGCTCTTGGTCCAAAAGTGGCTCTTGTTCCAAAAGTGGCTCTTGGTCCAAAAGTGGTTCTTGATCTAAAAGTGGCTCTTGATCTAAAAGTGGCTCTTGGTCTAAAAGTGGCTCTTGATCTAAAAGTGACTCTTGTTCCAAAAGTGGCTCTTGGTTCAAAAGTGTTTTTGCTCCAAAAGTGGCTCTTGGTCCAAAAGTGGCTCTTGGTCTAAAAGTGGTTCTTGGTCTAAAAGTGGCTCTTGTTCCAAAAGTGGCTCTTGGTCCAAAAGTGGTTCTTGGTCCAAAAGTGGCTCTTGGTCCAAAAGTGGCTCTTGGTCCAAAAGTGGCTCTTGGTCCAAAAGTGGCTCTTGGTCCAAAAGTGGCTCTTGTTCCAAAAGTGGCTCTTGGTCCAAAAGTGGCTCTTGGTCCAAAAGTGGCTCTTGGTCCAAAAGTGGATCTTGGTCCAAAAGTGGTTCTTGGTCCAAAAGTGGATCTTGGTCTAAAAGTGGATCTTGGTCCAAAAGTGGATCTTGGTCCAAAAGTGGATCTTGGTCCAAAAGTGGATCTTGGTCCAAAAGTGGATCTTGGTCCTCTTGGTTCCAGATGCTGTCGGTGTTGAGGGGAGTGTATGTTTTTGGACCAGTCTAGTTTAGCCGCTGTGGACTTCAGAATGCACTGGTTAAATGAATGGGGCTAGTGCAGCTAACACATGTGTAAATGTGTTTTTTCACATTTTCCAGCCCCCGCGGCCATTTTGAAACTGCCACAGAAGCCAAAAGTGATGTCACATTAGCTTGAACGGTGGAACTAGGTGTGTCTTTGATTCTCTGATCTGGTGCTGAGGAATTGACAACTTCGTAAAGTCCAGTCACAGGATTTTCCCCACATTGATTGAATAAGATTTGCTTCTTGCTTCTGATTGTTATTGACCTTTGGTTCATGAAATTGAGCAAAGTGGGAGTAACAACATCTTTAAACTGTTAAATGTCAGACGACCAAACCTCATAAAGGTCACTTTTGAAGCTCAAGGAGGTTTTCTGGCTCAATTCACATACACTGCAAAAAGTGGGAAGAAATGTGTAGAAAATGGCTCAAAATTGGCCAAATGTACCGAAGTTCTAACACGTTCTAATAGGTTCTGACTGAGCCTAAAACACAATTCTCCAACAGGACGAAGCAAAATGATCTTGTTTTAAAAAGAACCATAAATGTCTCCTTTGGAATGAGGAAATAAAGTAACAGTTCTTGAAATGAGACTAAATGTCTTTGTCAGATTAAAATAAAACCACTTTAATATGTTATTATTTAATCTTAAAATACTTTTATAATCTGGATTTAAAACCATGATCCTACATTTTAAAACTCCCTGTAAGATACATAGACTGTGACTTCCTGTTTTCTGTCCAATCAAAGGCCGCTCTGAGTCCGACACATTGATAAATCCCTTTGATTACATTTATTTGTGTATCGCCCTAAATCACAACAGCATTCGTCTCGAAGGACTTCACAAAGTTGCTGATTCACCAACAACAGATCAGAGAATCCAACACAGGAAGAGCATCAGAGAGGAAGGGAGGCCCACATCTGCTCAGACAGACAGGTGATCCATGACTCAGACTGTACAACGAGGACTGAGGAGGCTCCCAGGTTCAAACTAGCGAGCTGGACTTTTCCCCGTGAATGAAGGCATCTCATTGGTCAATCCCTCTGGCTCATATCTGGATTTACAGCGATAAGGATCAGAGATTATATTTGGCCCAGTTGTGATTCAAACCCACCGGAGAATTATCCAAACTCATGTCAAATAAAGTGAATTTGTCAAAATACTCAAATATGTTAAAACAAATAATGATTATTCTTTTGGCTCCAACCAGATTTTGCAACTTGGGCCAAACCATAAAGAGTTTTCCCTCGGGGGTGGGCGAAACGGCTAAAACTCATGCTGCGGTATAATTTGGTGTGTGGATTTCATTATAGGTCTAACAGGTTCTTGCATAAAATAGTCAAGATTGTTAAAATTTCAATTTTAGAGCTGGATAATGTTTATTTATTTGATACTTTTAGCATTTCCTTGACATTTAGTATGACCTTGAGAGGGCGCCATAAAACCACCCGTTTGTAAGTTTCATTGTTGGAATATTTATCCCGTTATCATACAGACATTACAGACATAGTCAAGTCTCGTTGAACACATTTATTTATTAGTTAAACAAGTAAAGTTCAGTGAATCTAATCAATATCTAAACCGTCTGTGTTAGCCTCATTCCTGTGTGCCTTTGAACGCATCTGGGCGCTAGCTGCACGGCTACCAAAAGTATTTTTTTATCTGAGATTTCTTCCGCCATTTCTCATAATAAACCTTGACACATATGAGCACAAATCCCTAATATAATCTGTATATAACAACACCAACATGTTTATTTACACTTTTTGACATGCGCAAACTGAACTTCTGGACCAATCTGGTTTCCGGGACGAATCCAGCCGTTGTTGCCGGTCCCAGCTGAGCGTGTTGCTGATGACATCATGACCGAAGTCTCTATCGCATATTGCTTATACCGTTTAAATCGCCCAGGCCTAGTTTGCCCCAGTGTGGGCGGGTCCCAGCTCAAAAGTGGCCAAAATGACGTGTGCTGACCTGCTGCAGTACCACCCCGGGCCTGTGGGGGTGGACCCGGAATAAGAATTAGCCAATGCTAACATATAGCGTTGGCAGACCTCTCAAAAACGTCTTTACAGGATGGACCAAAAGTTGTCTCTTGGCCCAAAGCTCCGTTCCACATGTGTGTCAATGCTGAGGGGGTGTTTTGGTCCACTCTAGTTTAGTCGCTGTGAATCTTTGAAGTCTCTCGTTCAAATGAACGGAGCTGTCTCCGGCTGACGCATGCGCAGATGCGTTTTTTCACTATTTTTTGGCCCATTAGTTAGAACGGCGGAGATAGGCGTCACTCTGTCCGTTAATATATACAGTCTGTGGTTTGCCCCCACTGCTTTATGTCCTGCTTGGATCCAGTCTTTCGACATTGGACCAACTCGATCCTGTCCCTACCGTGACATTTGAGAATCTGCCAATCGGACCCTCCCCCCGTTTTAAAAATAAAGTCTATATTTCCCGACAGCGGCTCAGTTTGGCTCCACTTGGTTGCAGAATGTCAATCCTCTCCGTGCGCAGAGATAAGGCGGCGTTGGGAGCGTGTGTCGGGGATATCTTAAGCAGGATTGGCATTTGAATGTTGATTTTCTGCGGCAGAAGCGGCGTTTCTGTGCAGCCGCAGAGAGAGACTCGGTTCAGGCGCAGAGGAGCCGTGCTGTGACTGACCTGGATCTTTACCAAGTCTTTCCAACGTTTGAAATCACAATATTGATCTGAAACGACTCCATAACGTGATGGGGTTTTGAAGAGAGGAGCAGATAAAGTCTCAAACATGCGTGAACAGAAGGGAAGGGTCGATGCAGACGACAATTCAAGTCTCACTTTGTTTAAAGCCGCGAGAAAAATGAGGATAAAAGAGTCTGAAGCCGTTTGTTGTCAATGTGACTTTAAAATATAGATTCTGTCTTTCTCAGTTGTGCAATATTTTTGTCTTAAAATGGTCTTAAAATTGTAAAACTGCCAACAACAGTTTAGAGATTACAAATTGACCACAACAGAGAGAGATCCACTCCCACAGACGGACTGAGGCTGTAGACCCAGGACTGAGGCTGCAGACCCAGGACTGAGGCTGCAGACCCAGGACTGAGGCTGTAGACCCAGGACTGAGGCTGTAGACCCAGGACTGAGGCTGTAGACCCAGGACTGAGGCTGTAGACCCAGGACTGAGGCTGCAGACCCAGGACTGAGGCTGTAGACCCAGGACTGAGGCTGTAGACCCAGGACTGAGGCTGTAGACCCAGGACTGAGGCTGTAGACCCAGGACTGAGGCTGTAGACCCAGGACTGAGGCTGTAGACCCAGGACTGAGGCTGTAGACCCGGGACTGAAGCTGTAGACCCAGGACTGAAGCTGAGGCTGTAAGTAAGTAAGCAAGTAATGTTTATTTATATACCGCCTTTCACAGACCAGAGTCACAAAGCGGTTTACAATTATTATTTTTGGGCATTTGTCTCTCACTCCACACAGAGATGGGAGCGGGGTCGCCGAACAGGAGGCACAGACCTATTGTGCATGTTTTTAGTGGTAGGGGAAACCGGAGTACCCGGAGGAAACCTACGCAGACACGGGGCGAACATGCAAACTCCACTCAGAAAGGCCCTGGTCCGACCGGGATACGAACCCAGGACCTTCTTG